ACAAAATCTAAGCTTTTGTGGCTTTAGTTGTACAGTAAAGCTACCTGATGTACACTCTAGAAAACTACTGACGCATACAGATGAAAACTGCAAACACTGTTTTATTTTGAGTTATTCACCTACCGGTTAAAATATAGACCTTAGCTAAGTTTCTGGACACATACGTCAGAAATGCTTCCCAGTGCGCCTTATTTCCTTGTAGTTGGTGGAGTGTAAAAACAGGTACAAGGTGGTGAGCTGTCTCGACCGATCGAAGCCTATAATGGAATATTTGGACTGGGGGCCTTTCAGAGAGGGGTCTCTATGGAATAAGGTGTAGGCGGTAAAGCTTTAGTGCATCTTGGTCATTTATTTTGAATGACGTCTCAGCATGAGGAATAGCTGTATAACTCTATCTATTTCCTTCAAGGGCTTTTCACATGTGTCTGTGCGTACATGTGTGAACACTAGAGCATGTGTGCGATGGTATGACAAAGTGGCCTTGCTGGAGGTATATTGATTTAGTTCGACACCCAGCGTTCTTTATTGATTAGCTCATGTGGTGTGTCTCTAGTCTCACTGAACCCAAGTCAAAAGCTTAAACTTCTTCTCCCATAGCATTAGAGTATCATGTGAATAAGCTAGAGATGGGATGTGTCAATATTTCTGGCACTGTCACCAGCAACTATGCAACAATTAGGTGTACTGAGTATGTTGGAAGGTTTGTCAAATGGTTTTCTCCAAGAAGATGTGACTGCTTTGTCTGAAATGTTTCACAGCGTGGTATTAAAATTTTCTATCTCCATGGAGACCAAACCAGACCAAATTACCAGTCAAATCTGTGGAGAAGTAACCCCACACACATCTAAGGCTAGTTTCAGACTGCAGGGTTTGATGCTCAATTTGGATTTTTTGTGAAATACAATTTTTTTTTGCAAAGTCGTTCACATTTCCAATTAAATGCAACTTGTATGTGATCTCCAGTGTGAACTTTAAATGCCCCAAAAATGTCCCGCATGCTCATTGGAGGACATGAAGACGTCACACGCAGCGAGCATGATCAGTGTTTACGGAAGCAGCCTAAACACTGAGCTCGTCTCCCTAAATACAGTCCAGTTCCTCGTAAAATGGACAGGTTACATGCCATTTGTTTGAGTCTTTAGCGTCCTTGTATTTGGCTCACAAGCTCTTTATTTTTTGTTGATATAGGAGTCAGGACCGCCTGTAGCCGTGCTTGACCATGTCTTTGGCAATCATTAAAATAAAACGCTGGTTCCAATTTGGCCTGAATACAGTGATCCTCCCAAATATTACTTAACTCGCTAACCTCGCTTTCAGTCCATTGACTAAACTCTGAGCCTTATGTGTCGGTAGGATGAATGCGACCTGGCCGTTCAGACTGAAGTCACATGTCAAAAGATCGGTTTTAGGAGCACATAAACAAGTGGCCAGTTTTGAAAAAATCTGATCTGTGTTGTTCAGACTGCCATTAAAAGATCAGATACAGGACACATGAGGTGAAAAAATCTGATTTGGGTCACTTCAGGCTCCAGTCTAAACGTAGCCTTAATGCCTGGTTTTTGAGGCACAGCAATGACATATCCATAGAAACAACCAGACGGACTCTCAACAAAAAAGTTACATAGTTCACCTTAAAAGAGATTAAGTGAGTATTATAAAAATAGAAATGTTGCCAGTTTTATGCTTTTGCAAAAACAAGTGCAGAAAAACAAGAGGTGCATTTTTTACACAGAGGAAGCAATTTTGCAAACTATGAATGCTAAGTGGGTTTTTGGAAGAGTTTTTCACATAGCTCACTAGGGGAGGACAATATGCCAAAAAGAATCCTATCAAGATTTTGTAGAGTCTAGATCTAGAGTCTTTTTCACAATTGCAGAAGTAACTCAGTAACTGAAGCCATCTGCTGCTTCTGAAGAGTTCCTACATCACTGTGATTAGTTAAATCTCACTCAGATCAATGGGAGTAGGTGTGTGTATGTGTTTTTCAGCATAGATTTTCATTAGAAACGCATCTGGATAGCATCAGAGGGATCGCCATATCACCCTACCCTATCACTCATTTTGATCTTCTGTCTGAAAAAAAACATGACACATGTATTAAAGCACTGCTCCTTCTCTGGTCACAGGTATGTGCCTACATCTGGAGTCCAGATTCTGGACTATATACTGCTAAATATACATTAATCTACATAATCCACCCATCATCTCAACACCCTTAACCTAGGCCTGTCATAACAAATTTTACAGTGTAGGAAAATATAGACAGTAAACAATAATATTGAAATAATTTATTCCAGTGGCACAATAACCCCATAAACAGGATAATCCTCAAAATCATTGTAAAGGTACATTATTGTTAAAACTTACGATACAATACATAAATAGCTGAATGAAACATTTAGTAGTTATGGTAGTAGTTATAATGAATCATAGAAGTTATTTATTCAATACGCCGATTTATTGTAACAGGCCCACCTTAACCTTTTTTCCCCCTAAAACATCCACAATATGTACAACAGGTGGATAAATCCTGCTCTAGACCACAATACAGTCTGGTCTGTGGGCATTGCATTGTAGTTGGCCACTCACTATGACAGATTTCCTCAGCATGACTGAATGAAAAGATTCCAAACAAACCAGTTCTCAGACACACATAACCTATTTTCATATAGTGACACTATCAAAGATTTTCACTATCCAGGTCAATATGTCAGGTGAGCTACCAAACTCCTCCCCAAACATATATTATCAAACCACATCCAAAAACATATAATAAACCAAATTCCTCTCTTGTAGTTGTATGTGATGTCTGTGCACTGTGTTTTCCTATTCTCTCTGCAGCTTTAAATCTACTATTAAGCTATTCAAGATTCCACAGCACTAAACTGGCATGAGGGCTTTCATTCATTGGTCCTTGGAGTCGGTGTGTCTTTGGTGGTATTTCTCACCACCCCACTCACACTCAGGGAGAAAACGCTAAAAAAGTAGTCTCCATGGAGATGTTGGGCGTGAGATGCCCATTATGTCCATTCAAAATAACACAAAACAAATGGTATAAGTCTTAAGAGGAGAGGGCCAGCCAGTTACCATGGAGTGTGAGGTGGGAGAGGACAACATCCAGGAGTCAGCCACAATGTAATAAACATATATATATATATATATATATATATATATATATATATATATATATATATATATATATATATATATATATATATATATATATATATATATATGAGATACACTTAAAGGCACAGTACCTGTTTTTTATTGTTGGTTACTTCATGTATGCATTCCAACAATTCCAAGTTTATAAGTGCTATTCACAACTTTGTACACTTCCTGATTCTATGACAATATAAAGCTTTTTAATGCTATTAGATGTAGATAGTACACAGCAGACAGTGACCTCAAAACTGGTTGTACAGTATATCTGAACTGGAAGGACAAATTTTCCTCAAATAGGCTACATGGAGAAAAAAAAAGAAAGAAAACAGGTTCTTGAATAGCCACCCCACCTGGTCTATTATGTAACTGTGATTTGCCTTTAATCGTTTCACTTTTTACTTTCATTTTATTAATGACTCTAGAGTTATAGACACTTAACTGGTAAATTATTCACTAATAGCACTACTTACTAGAAATGACAATCATGAGAATGGAATTTTAATTACATACACTCCAACAGTGGCCTCAATCCAAAAAATAAATAAATAAAATAAATAAATCTGATATAAATACATTCATATTATATTATTAAAACATATGATGGACATATACATATTTTATAAACACTTTTCACGTGTGTGATGAGCCTGGGCCTAAGTTTTCAATACTTAAATATGCATGTGTTAAACATTCCCTCTCGTTCCACTCAACAGTATATAGCAGTCACGTGCATGGCTAAAACAGGGACCACCAACACAGTACATTATTGGAATACTGTATCACGGCAAATCTATTTATCAATACCCAATGAATCATACTCTATTATCTGTTCACTGTCAATAAATCCTATAAGCGTAATTCAAATGCCTTTTCGTGCTTCAGGACATGAGTGACAGCACAGCGAGTTATGACCTATTTGAATCAATGCAGGTGACACATTTAGAGATTCTCAAAAGACGTCTTCTCAAAACGCATGGCAGGGAATTAAAAGCACACGATCTAAAAGCAATATAAGCATACCGCCATGACATTATTTTGCACAGGATAAACCCGTCCCCAAACGCCAGAGAAAGCCCCCTATTCAAATGGCTTAAGTACACATCAGGATCTTCCCCTTGCTCTGCCTGTCAGCTCCTATCACATCACACCGCGCGCACACAAGCGTCAACAATCACGCAAGCGGGGTTCATCCGTTTCATAGTAAAATGCTGAATTCGTTTTTGTATCACAAAAAGCTACTCATTCTACCAATTTATAATCACGGGCACGCAGAAAGTAGCTACTTGTTAACATGCAAGTTTAATCTGGCAAAATTACGCAAATAAAATATTGGCAAATTTAATCACGATTAGTCTATCGCAGTTTAAAGTTTAAATCTAGCCTGACCTGACCTAAATTCCGACAGTAGACTGTGCGTAAACTTGGCAAATACCAAAGTTTCCCATTGTAAATAAACTACAGTTTCACCAGGCATATGGTAACAACTACCACAAAAAATAACTGTTAATTCGGTTAAACAAGGCAGCCGACATAACGCCAAACTGTCTTTTTGGAATACAAAAGTAGCATACATTCTTGACAGTAAAAGCTTGTGACGCGCATTAACAACTAGGCTATGCTTGTATCTACTCTTGGCACACCTTACTTCATAACAACGTGAATAAGCAATAGGCGAAACCAGATGAAATTGATGTCACGGCGCTGAAATTCTCAAGGGAGTAAACAGACTACGCGATAAAAGTTTGTACACAGTTATGGCACATTATAGTCAGCGCTACTTCTCCGTGCGCTGCCCTCAAACTAAACTAGGTTAAACAGAGACATTCCCTTACCTGCAGGACACCGTGATTTCAACTTTGGTCGCGGGGATAGAAGCGTTGAGCGGGTCGAAGTCGCCTATCGACGCCATGCTTAGAAAACTGTTGTTCATCCTGTCAAAAGTGTGTGTTTTTCCCGTGTCCCTCGGCGTATTGGTCCGGCCCCCTCTTCGAGCGACGGAAGAAGGAAAAGCGACGCCTTGCCCGTGCGCATATGTGGAGCAAAGGTGCAAAGTGAGCGCGCGGCAGGCAGGCGGAGGGTTGGGATGTGATGTCACCGCTCCTTTCTCTCCGCGCGCCTCTATCTCTCTCCCTCTCTCTCTTTCGGCGTTATTCTTCGTCTTTTCAGTCCCCTTGTGTTTCCTCTCCTTTTCTATACACGCCTTTCTCCCATATCCTTCCCTTGCCCAATTCATAACGCCTCAGCTGACTTCTCTCCAGGGTTAATTCGGCGGATCCACTATTTACTGCCATAGAAATAAGGACAATAAAGTCACGGTTTTAGGCAGAAATCTACACAGAAGATGTCACTAACTGTCCTTGGCACGGGAGTTATATTTGAAGGTGCACTGTGTAACTTTTGGTGGAGGGTTTGCTACCTGCTTGTCTCCGTAGACATGTTATTGCTGTGCCTGGAATGTTCCACAGTATGCACATAAAAGTAATCTATTTTCATGGAGACAAGCATGTGATGTAACTGTAGGTCAAGTTACAGAGCAGGTCTATAGAGGAGCATTTTAACACATGTAATTTAATTAATGCAAGTTTAGTACCATTCTGTTGAGCAAACATGTTCATGAGACAAGCAGGTGGTGGGTAGCCAGGTTGGCGCCACCTAGTGCCTCCGCTCATTCATTTCTTTCCAGCAACTGGGTAAGAAATCGAAATACACTAGACCAGGGGTGCTCACACTTTTTCAGCATGCGAGCTACTTACAAAATGACCAAGTCAAAATGATCTACCTAATACAAAGCCAAGCAAACTGCACTGAAACACTTTGTGCCCCTTTTTTGGACCCTCACCCACAGTTTGAGAACCCCTTCTTTAAGAGAACTTCCTCTGGCGCTTTACACAAAACTGTGAAAAAAGTGAAGGAAGATTTTTTAAAGTTCCAAACTGGAGTTGCATTCTTTTCTGATTTTGCAGTGATATTTACCAGCCTCTGCACGTTTACCAAATCAAACGCACATCGTGACAAACACAGATGCATTTGTGCACTTTTGTTAGGCAAACTTCAGCCAAATGTGGCAGTAGTTCTGTTCTGTAGATCCGCTCTATGCTGTAGACCTGCTTTGTGCCAACACTGTAACAAAAATTTAGACTCTTTTTTGCTTCACATTTGGTCTTGCTCTTCTAATCAGCGCGCACTGTGGGAGGGGCTTGTGTTCGCTGTACGCAGGAAGGAGCGAGAGCGTGAAAAGGCGAGGGGCGGCGTGCTGACGTGAGGCAGATGGACAGGTAGGATGTTTAGGAAGTTTAACCTGCCTTGTGATGCACGCTGGTACACGAGGGCACACGCTGTTGCAGACAAGCCGTGCATAGGGAGCGTGTGTATTTGTGATGTGTCGTAGAGTATCCGCGGGTTTCAAATGAGTGCACAGGCTGCACTGAGATGCCCCACATGCTCCTGCACCCCGGTACAAGTTTACTGCCAACAGCAGCAGCCGTAATTAAATATGATTGCACTTGTTGAGTGTCAGACCTTGAGTGAGAGACAAGACCGAGTCCAAATGCGAGTCCGAGACGAGACACGGCGATCTACCCACACGACCTTGGCGATCGACTGGTAGATCGCGATTGACGTATTGAGCACCCCTGCACTCAACGGTTTGCAAGAATCCCGGAAGTTGTAAGACTGTGCACCGGCCAATCAGCGAAGAGCTGAACCAACCTGGGTTGTGATCCTTTGGACTTCCTTTGTCAAATACAAACTTTGCATTTTTTATTGCATCTTTAATTTGCAAGTTCATCTCGCAGAAACAACAACAGACATGTTCACTCTCTGCTTTGTTCGTTGTTGTGCCGGAAATTACTTGGAGACCATTTAGCATTCCGGCACATACATCATGACCAAATAGCAGCAATTTGGTGAAATAAAAAAAAGTACCTGCCTACCGTCGAGTAAACGAATCCTAATGCTGTGAAGTCAGACTGTTTCCACAAAATGAATCAGGCTAGATGGTAGGCCCTTCACCAAAAATGTTACATACTGCAATTTTAAACTAGTTTCATTGTCCCCATTATGGTGCATTATCTGGTGTAATTTGGTTAATCACATTGTGCCCTCTTTCTCACTAACTGCATGTTTGGTGATTTATTGCATCCTTTTGTTTCTTTGTGGTGTCCTCTGTCCGGAGTTGTGTGCGCGTTTGTCCTTACCCTTCGGCTGTGATAAATTTGGAAAGAGAGTTAACCTGAAAATCCCTCCACTCAGTGATAACTAACTTCCATTATCTAAAGGGTGGCACTGGTCATAAAATGGAACAGCACAAGATCACCACTCAGTAAATTTAAAGGTGTGCTATGTAACTTTTGTGGACTGCGTGCCTCCACACAGATGTTATTGTTTTGTTGGGGATGCTCCACTGTATTCAACTAAGAATTTGAAAAAGATGGATTCTTATTATGAGAGGGTTCACTTCCCCGCAGATCTGACCTATAACTTGACCTGGTGGTCCTTGTTTCTGTGGAGCTAGATAAATGAATGCCATATTGTGGAACATTACAGGCAAATGAATAGCATTTTCAAAGAGACAAGAATGCAGGTCAGAGAAGTGCACCTTAAAATCATTTTGGTTCATACATAAAAGGGGCATAAAAGACTACCTTCTTCCGTCTCCAAAAAAAGGAAAAAAATCTGTCAGAGGGTTTAGCTCAAATATTTGCTTTGGGCATGGACTGACCCACCTCCTCCAGCCCTTAGTAACAGCTATAGCACCATAAACTCCGGGTGTGAGGAAAGGTGGGCTTTGGCACTGCAACTGTGAAAAAAAAAACACACACACACATATCAAAGTGACTCGTTCTGACCTTAAGCTTTTGGACCCCTGTGGCTGCAACACATTTTCCACAAACAGCAACTTGAGTGGACTGCATTATGCTGCTTCAACAGACATTTATAGCCACAAAATAGGATGAAAATAATGCGTACAGTGCTTTTATGTGGTACTCCTTATATGTCCCTGAATGTGCATTACTGTTCAGTGAGGATAAGGATCTGAGTTTAATTAAAAAGAAGACTTGGATTCTGCAGGAGAATATGAGGACAATGAGATTAATATGAAAGGATAGAAAAGAATGCATTGTGTGGAGAAATAAGTGTGTTTCCCACAATACGACACAATACAAGAGCTCCTGGGTTGGACAATGTAGTGTAAATGCAGGGATCACATCAGAATAAATCATATGACAGTGGCAGACAGACATCACATAATGGGGCATGATGTCAATATGTTATGTAGTATGTTATTAAGGGTACAGCAGGAGCAGGCTGTGTTAAAACACTTTGCAGAAATTAAGAGCCATTGGTGGTTTAAGCTTTTGTCATGGATTTTGGTCCATAAAATCCCACTGTATGTTGCTATTTAAAGGTCCTATATTATGAAACATTGACTTTTGTGAGCTTTAAGCTATGTTAAAACATTACCTTATCAAAAACATATTTTGTTCCATTCACATGTTTGAATAATCCTGGTTTATTAGTCTGTCAACATTTCCATAGCTAAACATGCTTTGTTCCATCTTGTGATGTCATGAAGCAGTAGTTTTCAAGTCAGCAGCTTGATCTTTTATCTACTTTTCAGTAGAAATTGGCAATGGTATTACCACATGACAAGGTGAAACCATAGACCGTATATATGAGTGGATATAGCTAATGCACTAGCTGCCGTGTGACAACTAGCAAGTGCACCAAGAGGCTCTTCTGGCGTTTTCTGACCCTGGCTCCATTTGACTTACACTGGGATCTTGTTGCCCCTCTCTCTGTAATTGCTGCAGTGAGCCTCATTATTGTGGTATTAACATGTTCATGTTAAATTGCTCTACATGATTCTGATTTTTTTTTTTTTTTTCTCGCGCTATTTTATCTGTCAAATAATTCCTGTTCATAACAGAGAGCCTGGCTCCAGATTAGCTCCTGTAACTGTTAGCATCGCAAGCTTCATTTGAGCGACTGAACGCTATAGGTGACATCACACTTACTTAGTCCACTTCTTTTATACAGTCTATGTTTGTTTTTTTTTTTAAGAGAAGAGCTCAGCTTTAGTATACAGGGTTTGTGCGTTAAGCACAAACAACGTGTTTGTTTCATTAACAACGTGTTAATGAAACAAAACACAACTCTGGGTATGTTTTTGATAACGCAACACAATAGCATAATATAGGCCCGTTAAAAGCCTATTGATTTATTGATAAAATTTTTCTCTAATTGGTTGAGACAATAAGATAAGAGATGTGAGAACCTCAACTAAGTCCTCATGAAGACCTGTTTGGCTGAAACATGTTGGCTTTGGCCATCTAAATAAAGGCCTTTTAACTATATTTTTCCTCGTGGCATTTTTACTTCTTTGGAGTGCCTGGATTCTGTTGTGTTTAATGTGAGAACCTTTATTTGTCTGTTGCTGCAATGCGAGGTTCAACAGCAGGAGCAGATTAATAAATGAGTCTATTAAAAATAAACTACAGTACAGTATATGGACCATAACTCATATTAGTATCACATCATTTGACGACAAATGCAATCGTGCTATATTAGATCCTAAACCAATACTAGACCTGTACCAGAAGGGTAGAAAGGGTACACAAGAGGGCACTAAAGATGGCTCCATGGGTGAATAAGTGCATCCACTAATGAGAGGTTGTCCAGAGGCTCCTGCAAGGAAGGGAATAACCAACAAAGTATTAAACATGTTTTCATTTATTCCACTAAAACTTTTCTAAGTTTTTTCTAACTGACCTTGTATCTCAAAATATCCTGCAGCCATGGTTCAACTTGTTGTCATGATTTTAAACTTTCAAATTCGATATTAAGAAATTGGCTTGAATCACAATACTGATTTTGATACCACATTTTTGGAGAATAAACTGTGTGAATAAAGAATAGTACTTTTTATGGTATGTATGTCCATAATAAAGGGATTTTGCCTCAAATCTATTTTGTTTTTTTAGTACGTTTCTTGTTACCATGTGGTTATTAAAACGAGCGTCTAGTTTCTTTTCTAGTTTTAGTCTTGATGAGTATTT